TACTTTTTAAGAAAGGTAATTATTGGTAAGTACACATTTATAAGTTCATAAGTAAATTTAATACGATATTATTCAATGGTATAAGATAATTTAAGTTTGTTTTGGTATTTACATAAAGTGTAATAAATTAAATTTCAACTTTGGTAATTGTTTTATGTACCTAAGGGATAAGATAATAAAACTGAAATTATTATGTGATACTTTTGGCAAATTATTTTTTTCATATTTTTTCAAGTGATTAAAAAATGTGAAAATTGTTTTAAGAAGAAAAGTTTATGAGTGAAAAAACTTTGGATAAATATTGATGTATCGTTCTGACTTCTTGAAATAAATTATAAAAGTACACTTATTTTAATATTCCATTAACCGTTTCCTGGGAATTTCAATCTCGTAATTGATATTTATGCGTTTTCATTAGGATTTTTTTTTTTATTTAGGCGTGATGTTGTATTTTTATGTTGTATATTATGTATTTAAAAATCTGTTTGATTTTAATCAGGTTCCTACACAAAATTAACTATATAATATTTATATATACTCAAAGTCACAAACCACAGACCGTGATTTTAACCACTGAAGATTTTTACCTTTTCCCGTTAAATATATTTTAAGATATTATAATTACCCTCAGTAAAATGTATAGATAGACGAGGTAATAAAAACCTGGATTAATAGTAATTGTGCTTACTATTATTTAAGTACTTTATTTTTTATAATTTATGGCTAAAAAAATGTTACGAAGAAAAATACCAGTTGACTATGATTGCGAGTGTGTCAGATTAATAAACAAGAAGCTGCATCGTAGTGTGCGCTCTAACACACAGGTACACACATTTCAAAAATGTTGAATTAAATCACTATCGATCATAAAAGTCATATTATAGGTTTGAGGTTTGATCTAGAAAGATTTTCTCTTGGGAATACAATTACTGACTTTTCAACTTAAACACATTCCCACATAATGTCTTATAAACAAAAATTATAATATATTGTGCATAAAAATGGAAAAATAATTTTATCTAGGGTAAAAATATTTGTTTCTTTAGAGTCTAAAGCTTGAGACTGAAATTTTAGATACAAAATAAACAACAGTGATATAATTACAGTTGGTAGTATAAAATATAATACATTTGAAGGAATTCGATTCCTGTTACATCGGATCAAGAAGTAGACAATAAATAATAATAATAATAGAGTAGGTATAGTAAAACTATGTTAGATTAGCAGCTGTCTATAGTTAAGTTTAAACATGTGATCCTGTCAATTATGTATATACAGTGTACATAATAATTAATATTATATATAAGAATGTAATTAATTTAAAACCGATTATAAATTAATTATTATAATTACATTTTTGTAAAAGATTATTTCAGCGTGCTCATTTTATTATTAGCTTGCACTTCGTATAGACTATATTATATAGGTACAGAGGGCCCGACAGAAATCAAATCTAAAGAAGCAGAGGCAGTCAACAATAAAGAATACAAAAAGTTTAAGAACATTGTAAGCCGTCAGACTATAATAATATAAACGAAAATCGCCGTGCTTATATATCCTCCATTAGTATAGTTACAAAATTAAAAATAGAAAATATTCGAGATTACACTTTTTAATGAAATATTCATAGACGATGACAAAAAAGTCGCAATCAGAATCCTGCAATAACGATAGTAAATTATTTCAGTGGCGTTGACTGCCAAAAGAATTGTACAGGTACTAGGTATATTGTATAAAATATTTTAGTGTACTAGAAATTAAAATAAACTAAATGCGGTACCTGTTTTTAATTTTTAAAACCCAACTGCGGTTGCCAATTAGTTATTAATCCCTTTGGACCCTACGCATTGTACCTATAGTAAATACTATTTTAAGAATAATTAATTACACATCTTTATTACTCATCAGTTGGGAATAGGGATAGAATATTGTATATAAGTAGTCAAAAACGTAAATAAATAAGCATTAAAATATTTTCTGGAATATCGCGTAATACACGAGATAAAAATATAATACTCAACAAATAAAATTTTGTTGATATTTGCAGAATAATAAAGGTGTTCTGCTGTACAGTAGGTTGATACATTTTGTCAAAATTCGATCTTTAAATGCTTATAACAAAAAAATTGTGCCTGTGTATCTTTAATATTTTTCAACTGCTATTGTAACAATATATCAGGAGCCTTGTATTAAATTTTTACATTTTTTATCCCAACAAATAAAACTTAATTGATATTCATAGGAAAAACAAAGAAAAAAATTTAATTATGAAATTGTCCGTAAACAGCTCAAAACAAGTCAAAATATTTTGAAAATTTTATCACGTATAAGAATCGATAAAATAAACTTTCAGTAAAATTTTCATGTATCTACAGTAATTCGTTTTTGAATTACAACCTATAAACATTTTCGCTTTTCCTTAATTTTTATTTTGTTTTTCCTGGCGCTTTTGAAAACTATTGGGAATTTTAAATGTTGACCTCCCAAATGTACCAACTAGACTCACTTTTCCATCGAACAAAATACTGTAGTTGAAAATCAAATCATTATTTCGACTACTAATCGTGTACACAGGCACAAAAAAAAAAAAAAATTTAAATTAAATTAAAAAAAAAACACACATCATTGTAAAATCAATATATTCATCGCTCCACTCAGAATCTAAAATGACAAAATAATAAAATATTAACGAAAAAGAAAAAAACGATTGACAGACGTAGTGACGTGTGTTCCTTTAAGTCCAAGTGTAGGTACTAAAATAAATAATTCCACGAATTGAAAATATATGAATGTTGCTATAATAAAAAATGTTATAAAAAAGTAGGCAAAAAGTCAATTGAAAAACACGACTGTTGGGATATATTTTGAAATAGATAAATAAATTATAAAATAATGGGAATGACTCGATGGGAAACAAGTCGATATTGGATATTCGACAAAAATAAAACCATAGTTTTCCATTGTATAATAACTATATTATAATGTGACAATATGACCAATTTTAGAAAAAAATCATGTAAACAAGAAAAAAAGTTTAAAAAATCACAACATTTTTAATTTCCCTTCTTTTCGTCCACAAAACAAATTTTTAGCTTTCTAGCTATATTTTTTGTCGTTTTCTTAAACGTATAGAAACGATAATTGCTTATTGCTCATAAGTATTACGGGTATTGGCATAAAAAAAATTAAAAACAAATAAAGTTGATTGGCAGAAAATAAAATATCTACGCGTATTTGACATTTTTAAATTCTAGAGATATAATATTATTATGTATTTTAATTCGTTTTAGTAACACATCTACGATCTACACACCATTTCGTTAAAAATACTTTGAAATAAATGGTTAGTTATTTATATTGTGTACAAATTGGATTTAGTTTCAATTCCTGGGGTATATATGGTAAAATGGTGTTTCAGTCGTTCAGGTAAATTGTATTTAAAAACAGTAGGAAATGGACATGGTTGAACTTCAGCTGATCTTAACATCTAAGACCGTTATAAGTGCATAATATGCTTACATTGTCCGTCGTCTGGGTATAGTGTACTTACACATATTCGGTTAATCGGGATATTTATTATCATAATAAAATATAAATAAATCGAGAATGCTATATAAAACTTGATGGAAATTGAAAAATGTATTTAATTTTCATATAAATATAATTGATTATAATATCTTATTTTACAATTAATTATTAATAATTATATAATTTATACAAGTCATAAAATATGTATCTTATAAAATAAATTAATATTATTTAATACTCATAGACTACGAAACACTTGTCTTTTTCTTATGTAAATTATATATTATAAATATTTCGTACATTTCGTAACAGATTATTAGTTTTACACTATTTTATTATACAAACAAATCAATTACAGAAAATGTATTTGTAATTAAATGTTGGTTCATCGAAAAGCAACATAATTATATTATTTATATATCCGTTCCACAAGCGGAATTTTTTTTAGGTTTATACTTAATATTTTAATTTTTGCTTGATAAACAAATATAGGTAAGAATGATAATAAACAGTCACTGATCGAGCATACTCTGAGTTAGTAAATTAATCTTAACTAACTCTAGTTAGGTAATATTTGATATGTCTTGTATTTATTAATTATAATTCATAGTAGGTACCTAGTACCTAATTTCGAAATTCTATTAAAATATATACTTATCTAATAATTACATAGTACCTATATACAGGATGATACTATATAAGCATGCTCACCCCATTGTATCCTGTAACAATGCATTTATTCAAATTTTGATTGTTTATACTTAAAGACCATAATTTATTCAATTACTTAGATCGTCAATACCATCAATTTAATCCTGTCTAATCATAATACCTATATAACATATAAAATATATTTAGCCTATAGAACTTATTATATTCAGATAATTTTCATAAATTATAAAATGTCAATAGATTAAATAGATTAATATTATTTACTTGTTGTAAGCTACTACACTTGTTTACCGTTGCATGTGTTATACAAACATATTAACATGGACTAATATTCTTTAAAAATAAGATTTAAAAACTTAGAAATTAAATACTCTACCAAATTTTGATTTTACATAAACATTTAAAAAAAATTATCTGCTTAGTAATTTATAAAAAAGCGGGCCGTTATCATTTGAAAAAATAAGTATGTACCGCTACACTCTTTAAACGGCATAGTGTAAGTAAGTACTTAGAAATTTAAAAACCAGAGCTTATAAAAATGCATGATTAAAGGTAAAAATTGAAGTGAGCATTCTTGGTGTACCACTCTGTATATATAGTAACATAATGATTTTTAATATAAAACTTAAAGTTTTATTGAATTCCCGTCTATTCTTAAAAAATAAATGTATTTTTGGTTATAAACTAATTTGTACATACAGTTATTAGATATAATTATAAACTCTATTATATAAATAAAAAAAATGGTAAACGTACATAGGTACAAACAAAATCATAGGTATAAGACATATTTTGTAGGCTTATTGGTGGTCAGCCCAAGTGACATGTCTCGGTTGAAAGTCAGAATTTAAAGTCACACGATCATTAAGGACCTTTTGATTTGATCGTCGAAAAAATGACCAACAGCCTAATACAAGTAATGTCTGCATAGTGACTAGAATTATACCGATAGCTAATCCTATAGGCCAAGTAATGCACCATTCATTGTTGCGAATTACTGTAAAAATATAATATAATTAATTGCATATTAGAATTTAATAGCCATTATTTACACGAACATTCAAAACTAATTATAAATATTGGATAAGTAACAGGGGCGTAGCGTGCATGTAAGCACTGTAAGCACTGCTTACACTTTAATAGGTACATAATAAATGATTTTTAAAATTTTAATTTTATTTATAAAATATTATTAAGTTATAGCTGGTAGTGGTTTTTGTTATTGTTTATTTGTGTCGTACGCTGTCTACTGATTACCAACTATTTTAAGAAAATCATCGATTGTAGGTCTATTTTTAATCCATTCTGTATTATGTTAACTGCATAATCATAATACGATATACAGTGTAACAGAGTTGGGCGTTATTCGAATGAAATTTTATCTAGATGATTATTTAGATAACATTTTATTCGAATAAATTATTATTCGAATGATTTTTTTTACAATTATTCGAATTAAAATTTATTCGAATAATTTTTTTTACAATAATTCGAATAAAAATTTATTCGATTAATTTTCAACTATTATTATTCGAATAAAAAATCATTCGAATATTTTTTTTTACAATTATTCAAATAAAAATGTATTCGAATAATTTTCAACTATTGTTATTCGAATAAAAAATTAACCGATTCAATTTTAAACATAGATATTCGATAAAACAATAAACAAATATCTATCAATAGAAGAAAGTTAAAAATTAGAAAATTAGATATGTTTTTTTAAATTATATTTTAACAATAGTTTTATAATATTATAATATGAATAATATTTAATGGTAATATTTCATAACAATTATTACAACAATCCTAATAGATCGATAATAGCAATATCTAAAAAAATTATTTTATTATGAACTATAGGTATGTTTAATCAAATTAAATAACTAAGAATTATTCGTATAACCGTCTTTAAAATTTATTCGAATAATCATAGATGAAAATTATTCGAATAGTTTTTTATTCGAATAATCATAGTTGAAAATTATTCGAATAGTTTTTTATTCGAATAATCTTAGTTGAAAATTATTCGAATACATTTTTATTCGAATAATTGTAAAAAAACATTCGAATAGTTTTTTATTCGAATACAGATTTATTCGAATAATTATCTAGATAAAATTTTGCCCAACTCTGCAGTGTAACACATTCTGAAATTGCTTACGCGCAACTGTTGTTTTCGAATAGTCTATAATGCCATAGTGGGGGTCACGTATTTAACTAGCGTTTGTAAGCACATTTTCGAATTTGATTTGTATAACTAGTAACTATATTTTTAAAAATATTAAAAATTTTAAAAGGATAACATTTTTTATACATAATTTACAATTAGGTATTTAGGTATAGTACCTATATTCTAATCACTTTTGGAAGAAAAATTTCACTGCTTACATCTTTTTAATACCCACGCCACGCCACTGATAAGTAATTTAATGGTTATATAATAATCATAAAACATAATATTTACAATTTCGTAATAATAAATATTGGGTTGATAAATAAAAAATACATTTTACTAAGTATAGTAGTCTAACCATTATTACATCAAAGACTAAATATTAATTTGATAATTAACCATTAAAATATATAAGTTGATAATTAGTTTGATTGTACAATTTATATTTTAATAATACAAATTTTTGTAATAACGTTTTGTAATTTACATGGCATAACCCCATACATTTTTGAAGTGAAATACATTTTAAATTTATTATTTAAATATATTTGAAAATAATATTTTTATTCATACCTGAAGCCTCCAATTTTCTTGATGATCTATCATTATTATTGTTACTGTTACTAATTTGGCTTTGACTGGCTATAATTTCTTCTTGTTCATCAAGAGATCGTACTACGATTGCGAGTTGTAATGGTACTTCCTTTGTCTTACTTTCTGAGGTATGTACATCGCGTTTTCGTCGACCATGGGACACTTGTCCGTTTCCACAGTCACTCTACACAACAAATTACAAAACATTAAATTATATAACATTTGTTTTGAAACAAATCCAAAAACAATTTTAACTTAATAGTTAGAAAAAAAACTTATAAATACTTTTAAATATACTCACAGGCTTACACATCTGATCACAAAACATCATCATGAGACTAAACCGTAGTACAGGTGACGAAGGAAATCGGAATGCTTTGAATCTTGCGACCATTGAATTTGGAGGTGTTAAATTCAAAACCGGAAATGTCGATGGTTCTGGAGGACATCCTCTCCAATCTAAAAGTAACAAAGAGTCCAGACCATCTCCAGAACTAGCGATCAAGTGGCCGGCCCTTAATTGTGTTGCGTCTGAAACAATTGTTTAAGTATAATTAAGCGCCAATACAATTAAAGCGATAAATACAAATGTCCTACTATATGGTGGATTCACGTCAATCCGGAGTTCCAATTCATCGCCAAGTTTCACTTCAGATACTTGTTTTACGTTTCGTCCCACTTCCAAAATTCTCATCTTAGCGACTTGATTTGCCGAACCAACCAAACCATTCGGATCGTATCCACCGTCGTTGTATATTGTGTTATGTATGCTATTCGATCAATAGTAATAATAATAAAATAATTAAAGTAGCTGCCTACTAAACTAAACTAAATACTTTAAAATTGCTCATTTTCATAAATATTTGTTACAAAAATTACTTTTTTTTTTATTTGTTTGATAATTTTTTTTAAATTTCATACCTACCAATGATCAATCAAAATATAAAACTATAACTAAGCTTATAATGTCAACAGTTTATAATAATGACATTGTAATGGACATTTTAATAAATTTTATGAAATTATAAATTCATAAAATTATGTAGTTAACATAATAGTATAATCTATAGTGCTATATAAAAATTAAAATCGATTCATCGGTTCTGAAAAACAGACATCAAAGAGCGACGATTACTATTTATATTCATTATACCAATCCTTATAATAAATTAGTATGTATATTTTATACAATCGAGTCAGTTAAAATGTTTTTAAAATAATAACAATGTTTTGAATATATTTGTTAACATGTTATAATATCTAAATATTGAACTGTTATCCAAAAATTTGAATATATTTTATAGGTAGTACCTACTTTTTTTTCATAAGCTTAATTCAATGTTCATTCTGATCGGTGATTACCTGCATATTATTATTTTGAAAATCGTTTTAGCCAAGCCTGATATTTGTAAAATTTACCTAACACGGACGACGTGTGCTCAACAAGTAACAACACTATGTCATGCAATATGCATACCTCGGTTCTGCCACACCAAATGTAGCGTCTAAAGTGATGTTCTGCGGCCGAGAGGCCAAGAACGACGGTAGGGGACTTGAACCAACAGCACACGACACTTTTGTCACTCGATCGCCGACGGTTTGTATGATAGGGTGGTGTTGTACTACGACAACAGCTGTAGCCAACTTCCTGTTGCTATTTGCCGATTTAGCCACTACCACGTCACAGCGATTACGTTGAGTGTGGTTTTCCACGATCGGCAGGGTAATCGTAGTCATATCCGTATGGCGACCATTAACGCCGCATTCTTCTGGTCTTCCCAGTACAAACATTCGGCCCTTGAAGCCCTGAGATCTCAACGACACTATCATGGAATCATCGCTACACGAGACGCTTACTGAAATACAATTTAATATAAACGTGTTTTTTTTTTTAGTTTTTTACTCATATTAGGTACATATTATCTTATACATTATTATCATGGTTTCAATGCTTTGAACGAAAAACGTATGCGCAAAACAAAAGTTATATTATAGAATATTCAAAGGAATTATTCAAGGTATATAATATGATATAATTATATCAAACTATATAGTCATTATGTGTACGATGCTTAAAATGTAATTGGAAATCTAACAATTACTTTTAGCGAGTAATTAGTAGGCACGTTTAAATTGAGTCGATTAGTTTGGAAAAATAAAATATGTTGTCTTACAATCAATGCAAGTAATTCTTTCTATATAAGTGGAACATGGCGATGGAATGAGTGGGCCGGCTGTGCTTGTATCGTCACCGTGTAAAAGACAAAGAGTGCCACCAAACCCATCTGTAGGGCATTTAAAAGTATAACCTCTGCAGCTAAAATATTGTTCAGATTCACATCTCTCCTTGCACTGTATACATAATAAAATTAATCAACATTTGTTATTTTATTAGTTATTATTCACTGTGAGTTCGTACTTGTTCAATGTTAATGTTTTCTACTTGTAAGTCCACTTGTTGTAAAGTTCTATCATATACAGGTTCGTGCCAGCACGAACTAATTTGATTTGCACCTTAAGTATCAAACCATTATTTAATAATTTTGTTTCATTTATATAGGTACCATAAATATAAAACATAAAATTGTGTATATTTTAAACCTGGTAGTGTATTGGCGCATTCGTTTTCTAAATATTCGACTTGACTCCGACTCGGATTGAACGCCGTGGGTTTGGTCTTGCGGGTTTCGGAGTTCAGAGAACACATCTTTGTCAGTCGAAAGTAGTTGGCCGACTTGCAATCGTTTTGGTCGATGCACAGTTGGGCGCATCGCCATTTGTCGCCGACATTGGGCACGACCGAATACTGAAAACCGCTTATTTCGTAGTCCATGGATACCTCGATCGGCCACGCTCTTCGATTACACGATTCGGGGACTGACGACAAATACATGAGACGTTATAACGTTGGGTTAGGTTGGCAAATATTTGACCGACCCGTCCGTATAAATATCGGTCGAGCATATTATACTTACCGCGGAGACACGCTTTCCTAAAAAAATTTACATTTGGGGTGACGACGATGTTGTCGGTGGAACTTCCCATGTTGGGCACCCGGTAACACGACGTCGACGTGTAATCTATTATGAATCCGGCGCAGTCCACCGACTTTCTACATCTGCGCAGTACAATTTACAATTATTTATGGATGTCGACGACAACACGTCGAGAATGATAAAAACGTTTAAAGCCATAGCTTTAAAATTGAGGGTTTTTTTTAATTACCTGTTGTAACATTCTGCCGTTATGGCGACTCCGGGAGTGCTGGCGTACAATAGGATCGGCTGTACCACAGATCTAGGAGCCGAATTACTGTATTTGACGTACGTTACTGGAACGCCGTCTGGACAGTCTTGACCTGCAGAAATTAGAAAATCAGAATATGTATTTATTTTTTTTAAAAATTTAACCGACCGATTGAAATGGTTTGTTATCGTAAAAATAATATCACGTCTATCGTTGCAAACAGCATAAATGGGCTATTACACTGTCTCCGTATTCCGTGTGATCCTCGCGATGGTCAACCCGTCACCACAATTATACATACCAAATAGTTGAGGATATTCAACTATTCCTACACCGTGGGTTATATAAATGTGGTTATTAATGACCAGTGAAATCGTTATTATTTATACCACACGGTTTATTGTACACGGAGGCAGTGTAATAGCCATTTAAGACGATCGATTCAAATCGTTAAGCCAATATAATAGTATAGTGCCTGCATGTGAGCGTAATCGGTAATGCAGAAGTGTCTTTAAAAGTTTGACGCCCCTGGGGAAAACAACTTTTGATCGTCAGCTGTTCAAAAACTTGGACATAGCCATAGGTGCAACTAGGGTTAAAATTCTGGTGGGGCTAACAAAACTATTTATTTAAAATAACTCATAGGGGGCTTATATCTAAATCAATAAGGGATATTTATGGGAGGGGGGGGGGGGCTAAATCTTAGTCATCGCTATAATAGATCACGGGATAAAAAATGCAAAATGTGTGCAAATTCAAAATTGTTCACATACTCATAGGTTATTTTTAATTTAGCATGCATAATAAAGTCTATAAATTAGGCACACTAATAAATAGTAAGTATATTATTAGTTAAAATATTTTAATAATGAACAGCTTATATATGTATAAAAGTCTGAAACTATGAAATTTAGTTTATCCAAGTTGTCCTTTTCAACTAGAAAAAGCGAAAGTATACTGAAATGACAATATACGAAAAACTTAACAATACACTTATTGTAGGCGTGTGGTATAGCTAATTTTGAAGGTCAACTCAATTGTGTATTATTTTCACGTTGTATTATTATATAACACAGGTGGTCTCAGTTGAAAACAATGAATGCTTATTTTATAAAATACCTGTGTCATGATCAATTTTGTGATATAAATATTGTAAGCTCCCGCTGATCGTGGCTGTTTATATATTCAATGTGCCATGTGGAAATTAAATGGCTAATATTATTTTTTAATGATTCTCTATTTTGAACGTCGTTTTAATTAGGTACCTAGTAAGCAAATTTATTTTGTTGATCTAACATTATTTAAGATAATGTGATTATTTAATTTAGATTTGAATGTCCTAAAAACTATTAAGAACGAAATCATACAATATGCTAATAACTAAATTGATATAGTATTATATAAATACCTAACGACTAATATATTAATATTATATCAAATAAACGAAAAAGGTCAAAAATGTAATTTAGTTTAGATAAATAATGTGCCGAGAACATTAAACAAATTAAGAAATACGAATTAATAAAGTTAGTTAATGTACCAAGAGTATAATGAAACTTCGTTGAACTACTAATGTGATAAGCCAAAAATACAACACTGTTGTTATTACAATTTACTAAAAAAGTTTTCGAGTAAAATTCAATTATATATTTTATGATATATATTATGTACGAATGTACGACATAAATTAAAAACGAAATCACTAACTGGAGTTATAACGATAAAAACGTAACAATATCTTTGCTAGAGAGTCGAGTTATTAGATATTCGTTATAGTAGCTAACCTAAAGTACAGACGCATATAGGTAGGTATAGTATTTTACGCACCTAAGCATAATATGTTAATATTTATCACTTATTAGTGCAACAGCCTCTAGACATTTGCTTGACACTATTTTTTTTTATTAGTAAACGTATCCGTGTCACACTACAATATACTATGTATAACAATTACAGTCATCTGCTGCGTAGGTACTTATTCCGTACAGCAGCCTACAGGTACCTAGTTTATATTTTGTTAAATATTATGTTTAATTTATGATTATTGCAGTAGGGCCCAGATTTGAAGGTCCTAAAAACTATTACGAATGAAAACATACAATATTGATTACCTACTAATATTATGCTAACAACTAAATTGATATATATATATATAAATACCTAACGGCTAATAATATTAATATATCAAATAAACAAAAAAAAAGGTCAAAAATGTTTACTGTCAGATACACCGAACGCCCAAACGTCACATCAATCAAAAAAAAGGAATAGAAACCTATTTTTTAATTTTTTTTTTTTCTTAAAGTCTTTATATGGAAAACAGAATATCACTCATACATTTAATGTCATTAAAATATCTTTAGCTTGCAAATCAATCTAAGTGGTGGTGATAACGATCATCACTATAATACAGTGAACACTATAAAATTAAATTACAAATTACGATTTTAAAATATAACAATAATATGATTACATTAATTATTGCCTATTCTAATCGAATTACTTTTTTTGAAAATTCTGTTTGGTTTTTATTAAAATATATCACGCGACTACGGGAGTATATTATTATGGTATACTTTAAAGTTAAACCATTATTTTAAAATTTATTAAACATTTATATCTGCTTCCCGTGGCTTGGGTTTAAAATGGCCAATCTTAGTTTTTGGCTGACTGCAGTTACATTTATTTTTTGTGCTAAAAAATAGTAATTCTATTGTAAATTAGATATAGTAACTGAGATAAATATTGCAAACACAATCGACTAATATTATTCCAATAATGGCCAATTCAATAATTAAATAGTGAGATTGGTCTCGTTTTAGATAAAAAACAAAATATATCTATAGGGTATTAATAATTATGATGATAGTAATAATAATAATAATTTTAATGATGATAATAATAATAATAATAATAATAATAATAATGATAATTATTTTGAAGTGCTCAATGAAATGTTAAATATACATTGGAAACCGAATTTTTTAGGAATAGATGTGAGCAAGATTTGAATACGTTAATTATTACGCATTTAGATATGTTGGTCATGTTTGGGTTATAAATTAATAATATTTATATGGTGTGTAATTTATAGTTATAGTAACACAGTGACGTATTTATCGGTTCCGACAGATTTCGCAAGAGCGCAGGATTATATACAATTTATACAATTTATTACGTAGGTACTTCCTTACAAGCTATAATATAAGCATAGGATAAATTATAGAAACATAAATGTAATGCTAATGGCAGTCGAAGCTGAAATAAAGAATTTCAAGACTAATAAAAAATCGAACGATAGAAATCCGATATCTATTAAAGATTGGTTTTCTTCGGTCGGCCCAGGGACAAAAAATAAAATACAAGTGACCGTCGGACCAGATAAAAAGGTATACATTTTCAAATCGAGACGATTAATGCCCACTATGTTATTATAATAATACGGTGTAAGGACATTTTATTAGGCCCGTAACCACGATTAGGTCACCTGTGGCTGTATGACCTATGGGCCTGCATTTTAAATCGATATATGTACAATAATATTATACCACCCGGAAAAATGTACCGTACAAAAGAAAAATAAATACTATTTCGGTAGTAAGTATCCATAAAAACATTTTTCGAAACGTTTCTGGTTAGCTAACCCCACCCCGCACCCGGGTCAAGTATTCAAGTATACCGACTGCATAATGTGAACATTTTGCAAAACATTTAACACGAAACCTGTTTTTAACTTTCAGAAGGTCTACAACAAGTACTACAATGACTTTTATTTTCGTTTCGTCACCCAAACCATTTGATCTCCTCAACAAGGTATGAATACGCCCTTAGTATACATGACATTAAAGTCGGGTTCTCACTATACACCGTGTGTCGTGCAGAGTCGAATATATATGGGACTTGCCACTTGCGATGACTGTTATCAACATTTTTTTACCTATTATAACGTATTCAACGTACGGAATACGACACGACAACGGTGGTACGGGAACTTGTAGGTACCAAAATAAAGTTAATATTATTTGCACGGTAGCCGAAATTAGTGTTTGTAATTATCCGTCGTAATCACGTTCTTACACAGTATTACATTTATTCATTTATAACGTTATGGATTAATTATTATGTAATTATATATGACCTACTGTATATTAATATGTTTTTCATATATTATATTGTTATTGTTATTTGGTAGCTATAAACTTTAAAGTCAACAATATTGAAGTACCTTAAAACGGGGAGGTTAGTGAAATAATACAATATTTGGTAGTCAAGAAACTAAAATGGAATATGTCGTGTCAATAGCTTCTCATCTAGGTACTTATCTCAATATTTTAAGTGTACTATCGAAACGGGTACCTTCGTAGTTCATGCTATCGAAAGAATGATGGATTAATTGAATTTCGGTGTAATTCATAATTTTCAGTACCCGAGAAGGTGCAAATTAAATTTATTTAGGAGCAAATCACAAACGCATTTCAAAAACTTTGTGCTAATTACCCGTCGGTGCAAATCAACTACAGGCAGGGTCGGACTGGGAATAAAAGTTGGCCCCGGGGAAACACAATTTTGGTAATAAAATATTTATTAGGCCCAAATTTAATCAAGTTGCTCAAACTTTCGACAGGCCCGGGCACACCCACAACCATAGCCAGTCCGCCCTTGATTACAGGGCTCTTTATACAATTCAGTTCAATATCTACAATATACATATTGTCATGGGTAACATAGAAGAGAGGCGACAAAAAGAATGCCGCCGTCTCCGCAGACGATGTTCAGACTTACCATGCGCCGGTCGCTGGAACGCCGCGACGTACACGACCAACAACAGCAGCGCCCCGCGCGATTCCATGGCGCGGCGGCGTCGACGGTCGGAACACCCGCGTCGATCGCGATCGTGTTACAATTATTATAATCTAATTATATAATTATAATTATTAATTATTACGCTGTCGTCGTGACCGTCGTGCGATAGATTTATATTATATTAGTACGACTTTCTGGCGGTACTGACGCGCGTCGTGCTGATGCGGTCGATCTGCAGCTGTCGGACGGGTCGTGTCTTAATAAAATATTATACTGTCGGCGGACGGTTGCGCGCGCGCGTGTGTTGGCGGCACGCACGTTGGCGATCGTTTAAACGACGGCGTGCTCGTCGGCCGCGGCTACGGCGAATCTACGCGGACCTACGTAGGGCGGGCGGGCGGGCGATGTGGCCTTGCAGCGGGTCACGTGCTCTGTCATCGACGGTGACGTTGACGTCACCGCGGACCGCTGCTGCACGTCTCTAATGGTTATAATATTATGATTATTATTATTGTCATTATTGTTATGACTGTTATTGTATTGAAGTCGTACCGCCGTCGGTTTTCCGCGATTCTCGGGTGTTATGGCGGCTGATAAGAGCACATGACAGACTAAATTATGCCTAGGTAACCTATTTATACCACACGTAACCAGCTTGCGCGATGATCTTTTTCTCCATCTTAATATAATTTAAGTATCTGGTTTATATAATCAGCATGTACTTGAAAAAATTGTTGTCGAGATAGGACAAGTCTTATTCCTGTACAGATGAGATCCAATATATGAGTACTATCGACGATCAGTGGCGCAGATCACCTAATTTATCTATGACATAGGTATGTCATAAGTAGTAGATTTTTTAGGTGGGGGTCCACCGTAGGCTATACTGCAGGGGATCTCGCTGCGGATCCAGAATTTACATTAAAACGTAAAAATAAATGATTAAAGATTGCATTATAATATGTAGGACGTAGGTGCTTTGATTGCATCCAATGCTTATATTAAAAAAAGAGGGGGATAATAGGGGATCCCTTGCCTTACGATGTCGTAGTATATTTTAAATACTTCGGCTGCTCCACTGAGTACCTACTATGGAACATACTATGCATCCTATACCCTCCATTACGAGTACGATTCACAATTTAAGTCAATATTATAGATCGTATTTAGTATAATAACGTTTTAATTATAATATTTATTACGTTATGACGCATTACACGGGTACCTATTACTTATGTTACCAATACGGAAAACTCGGACCGGTATCCGCTCGTCTGTATTGCTTCATTACTGCGACTATACAAATTTACAATGACTCGGCGGAACAACAAGTATGAAATGCATTTAACGCGATTCAAAAATAATACGATAATTCGATACGAAACGGACGTTACATTGTAACAAGGACACGTACCCCACTATATTTTAAGCTAGACGCATCGTCGAGATGCACATCTGAAAATTTACTCGCATCAGGTGGTTCTGGACGTCCCGGACTAGTCGTCGAACGAAAGACAAATTTGTCAATCTCATATAGATCGCCATAATCGGTCGAGGCAGTAATCTAATAATATAATGCCTATTATAGATACATTTCTGTACGTCCAGTGGCTTTGTGAACGGGGTTACATTCACGTTGAAGTAAACGAAAAATATATGGGTGAGAGTGGGTCGATGGATAGTGTGTAGTGTTAGTACTTGACTGCGGGTCAGTGTCTGATATAGAACAATCGACTTTAAAATTACTTATTTGTATAGTATTAATTAATGGGTAAGTGGGTGGGTAGTCAATAGACATAACTCCATATACGTCCACTTGATGTATTAAATTAAATTATTATATAGTTATCATAGAACTGTGGAAGTATATAGGGCCAGGTAATTTTTGTCCACTGTCTTGCAAAGTTCAAACCTCCGGGCGTATAATCGCGACGGACAAACTTTAGCAATCTACCGTGCTCTGAGAATATGAGATGGACGTTGGAGTAAAGTTGTGATATTTTTATGAGGCATCATCAGGTGACAGGCAACTAACGCATCTGCAGTATTATGTTAGATTATAAACAGCTTAAATATTATTAATAAATATATTTTTTTTCGTAGTTTAGGTACGTCACCGAGTTTCTAGGCGTCGGCACGATTTTTAGAGGAGCGTAAATAAATATTCCTGCGGAACGTTCGATTTCGGATTTTAACGTTATTATATTTCGTAGAAGTCAATACAATGCAAATATTAAAATTTTCAATTTATAGAAATCGGATGACTGTGTGGGAGGGGGGATGAGGATGAGTGCAGGTTATAATGACCCTCTGAATCCTCCTATACACTGCAGCAGGAATCTCGACTGCGCATGATATATAAGAGTATTCCATTTCGTATACACAGCGGAGAGCTCAGGACATAATAAAAAAAATGAACGCAGGTGAATGCATATTGACATTACGTATATATATATATAAAGTTTATGGTATACTGTGTAGTGTGTATAGGTACACAGTGCATAGTGCACACGTACGTAACTACATATTATAATGGTAGTTATTCAAATATTATAGTTTTTGTTTTAAAACTATACGTACACACACACAGACATACAAAACGTATTATACGCGTTAAATGTAAAAAAAGGAGGACATACGTGTGCTTTACAAATATATCACACGAAAGTGAAACTACGAAGATAAAACATTTAAATGGCCGGTTACGCAAGTAGACCTTCGGTCATTTTTGTTTTCGGTTTTTTTTTTTTTTTAACAAACGAGAGAAAATTGACTGCCTAATCAACCCGTGCTTTTGGACGGCCCTACACACACACACATACACATACACATATATAATATATATTATAATATAATATATGGTACATGTTCAAGGCGGCTTATGACCATTATTAGACGGTTACATACCGATCCTTGTTTCAGAATGTTTTGATGAAATAGCCATATATACCATAATAATATGATCGTCGTCGTAAAACGGGACGATAGTGAGATACCCTAATAAAATTGAACCGACCGCGGAGTATTGGATAAAGATGATTCCCCGTAGGACCTGCACACTGGTATAGTATACATGTTATAGTATAATATTATATATTACATTTTATTCGGTCGTATGAGAAGATATTGCACTATAACATAATATATTATATACACCATATAGAGTCTATTTGAAAAATATAAATATTACTGTTTGTCAGAGAGTGCATTTTTTTCCGTTATACTCAAAAAAACTTTTTTTAAATTGTTCTTAATAAATTACAAAATTAATAACTATTACGAAGCATATGAGACGAAGACGTATTATACATAATATATAATATACATTATAGTAGTACCTATTGTACATAACTTAAAATTTAAATTATGAAGAGCATATGATGATTAATGATCCTTATATATCAATATATATTTCGCATTGTATTAGTTTATTAACAAACCCGTTTATTGAAATACTTGAGGAAGTATTTATATTTTATATCGATTTATGTGCACCTATAGATACGGAAAAACTTGGCTCGGAGTATTAAAGTGATCAAGCGTCGGAAACGTAATATACCTTCTATAGTCTGGTTTTGAACAAAATAATAAATAAATGGTAGTAAAAAAATTATTGTAGTTACCCTATATATCAATCTATAAAAAAATTAATATAATATCTAAAATTAAATATCAGATATTTAGATAATAATAATACATGGCAGGTTGCTTAAAAAATAATTCTATACCGGCATTACGATATTTTTGAAAGTACTAAAAATATATTATTTCAACTGCAGCAAAAATCGTAATATATAATTTTACATTGGTTTAAAACTATAAAAATAGGTACGTACGAAAATAATAATAATACAATATATTATGCGGTAGAAAAAATAAATCGAATGTACCTACGTCTACAAACTTCTATTGCAGTTTGCAAGATATTAATAACTAATATAATATGATTATAATTCGTAGTATACATTAATTATCATTTTTATTTTAACCCATTGCATTTAAAAAGGGTCTTTTGGGTGATAATATACACATACGGTGATACTCACTGACACACATAGAAAACAGCGAATTTGCATACGACGATAGTTAATAGTCCTTAGAATATATCTATACTATATTATACTTAATGCAATCGGCGAATAATTTTAAGCAAACGTGTGCAATTTAATTTCACTATTTAAAGTTGTTTGTAAACATTCGTAGGTACTTAATCTATTTAAAATTATTGGTTTTTAGTTGTGATATTATTTAATTTTGTTTCTACTTTTAAAACAAAATGTTTTGCTTTTATAGTTTTACGTTAATATTATTTATACATTTAAATTTAAAATATTAATATCATTACAAGCAAGTATCTATACCTTACTACAATGTGTAAGCCAAATGTATAGAAAAATAATAAGTTTAAAAGTAAAATTGTATTAATATTACACTAAAAAACTATTCGTATAAAAAAAAATAATAAATTGAATATGCTTAACTGTATGGACGTCTGGTATATTAAATGTTAATGCAAAACTCTATATGCATCCTATCGACAATGTTTGTTGTGAATACTATAAACATAAAAACAAACATAAAATATAAATATAATTTATATTACTTATAACAGTATAACAGAGGTACGTGATTTACCAAATTATAAATGTATATTTCGTATTAACATTTTTAAACAATACGGTTATTGTTCGTTAATGTTTAGGAACTACTCAAAATATTAGTCGGTAACTCAATAAAATACGTTTATTATTGATGTATCTAAATTTTGTTCTCCTTGAGCTTAAAATTACCGCTAATCTACAATAATTTATTTTATATGTGTCCAATATGTTTAAAAATGTTTGAGTACTTTAAACAATTCTCGAGGTCTGCGTAAAAACTATAGAATATATTAAAAAATTAATTTATTCTGTGAAAATACGACTAAATAATAAATAAGACATAAAATCGTAGAATAAATTGTCTAAAACCCATAAAGTGGTACGAATTAAATTTTATGTAAAAATGGGTACAGGGAAATGCAATTCTTTTTTTTTTTAACTTTGA